TGGCACCGATTGGTAATTCTAGCACTCAAGAGACTGAGGCAGGGATCATGTCTCATAAAGGAGGAAAAAAAGAGCTCCATCAGATTGGTGAATCCAAAGAAGCTACCAAACCCATGTAGGTACCACCAATTAATAGGCTGTTACCTCCTAGGAGATACATGCTCAAAGCATCCAATTAGTACCTTCCATTTCTTTATTTCTAAATACTTTTAAATCTCAAAGTTCCTATCTGTTGCTTCAATTCCCTAATTTTCCTAATAGTATAAACTCCATGAAAGCAAGGACCAGGTCTTGTTCACAGCTGTATCCTCAGCATTCAGCAAGATGTCTGGCCTGGATCAGATCTGCTCAGTGTTGAAAGGATATGTAGGATCTCTCTAAACACAGATGTAACAGGGCTCAGTGCAGGCCACATCATAGCACCTAGTATGAGTCATGCCCTGGGTCTAAGACCTAGCAACCAAGTTTGGGAGGAGGGGGAGTATTAGTACTGAATCACTGGTATTGAATAATCAAAATAGAATCAAGTATATATGCATTTCAGCATGTAAATAAATGTAGTTTTATTACAGAGCAGCACAGAATTTTGTTAATTTTAAATTTGTATTTATTATTGACTGTGTGTGTGTGCGCACACACACACACAGCATGACATGTTGGTGGTGGATTGTGCTTCTAGTCTTGAAGGTCAAAGGACAACTTTGTGGCATCAGTTCTTTCCTTCTACCTTTACATGGGATCTGAGGATGAACTCAAGTCAATAGACTTCTGTAACCTGACCCCAGAGTTTTGTTTTTGACAGAATTATAGTAACTGGAACTAGAGAGATGGCTCAGTGCTTAAGTTTTGGCTGCTCTTGCAGAGGAAGGTTTGGTTCCCAGCACGCACATGGCAGCTAACAACCACCTGCAACTCCAAACTACAGGGGCTCTGATGCCCTCTTCTGGCCTCCATAGGCACTGCATACACGTGGTACACTTAAATGCAGGCAAAACACTCATACACATAAAAAATAAATTAAAACTATAACTGATTAACCATTATGTTATTTCACTTTATATTTATGATAAAACATACCCTAGAAGAAAGATGGATGTGAAAAAAAATCAAACTTAAAAGAACTAAAAGAGTGGCTAAAGCATTGAAACATGGCTAGTCTAAGCTAGGACACACTGCAAGTGGTTGATGCACATGATCATAAAGACAACCTCCAAAATTCAAAACATACTATGAATAACTCACATTCATCACATGTTGAAAGTACTGCATTTTAGTTTAAATAAAATTTCTTTCACCTGTCTCCCTTTTATCCTGTGGCTATCAGGAAAAAATTAAATTATTTAATATGGCTCTGATTTGCAATTTGTACTGTACTTCTATGGCTACAACCAGTCTAGGTTATATGAATGACAGTAAAAAGAAAACCTGAATTTGGGGCTAGAGAGATGGCTCAGTGGTTAAGAACACTTGCTATTCTTCTAGGGGACCCAGGTTTGAGTCCCAAAACCCACATGGTGGCTAACAGCAGTCTACAACTCCAGTTCCAGGGATGTGACAACCTCTTCCAATCTTTGTAAGCACTGCACATATGTGGTGCACTTACATACATGCAGGCGCAACACACACATAAAATAAAAATAATAAATATTATTTAATCTGAATTTTATTTTATGAATTGAAAAAGTCACTTAAGGGGCTGGAGAGATGGCTCAGTGGTTAAGAATACTGGTTGTTCTTGCAGAAGACCCAGGTTCAAATCCCAGCATCCACATGGCAGCTAACAACTGTTCATAACTCCAGTTCCAGGGGATCAGATGGCCTCTTCTGTCCTCCTCGGGCATTGCACGACTCGGGTGCATTTACCTACATGCAGGCAGTGCACTCATACACATAAAATAAAAACAAATAAAATATTTTTTTTAAAAAAAAAGAAAGAAAAAGTCACTTAAGGATTCTGAGCCTGGGACTACCTTAATGGAATAAGCACATTTAAGCCTGGCAAGGTGGCTCACTGGGTAAAAGTGCTGGCTGTACAAGCCTGATGACCTGAGTCTGATCACCAGAACACAAGTAAAGGCAGGAGAGAGGTAATCCCAGAAAGTTGTCCACACATGCAACCCTTCTCACACACATGATACACAAACACACATAATAAAGTTTAAAAATAAAATAAACAGCCAGGTGTGGTGGCTTACACCTTTAGTCCCAGCACTTGGGAGGCAAAGGTAGGCGGATCTCTGTGAGTTCAAGGCCAGCCTGGTCTACATAGTGAGTTGCAGAACAGCTGGGGCTACAGGGAGACCCTGTCTCAAAAAGACAAAAATAAATAAAAATAGAAAATAAATAAAATAAACATATTTAAATGATCTTGCTCCACAGAAGCAGCCAGGACAGACTGTAGGGGAGCAAAACCTGAAGGAAGGGTAACTGTTAAGATGACTACTATTAACCATATATGTAAAACAAATTAAGTCACAATATCACTTTTGAAAATGGAGCCTGCCTAACACCAGTTAGTACTCTCGGAATCCCTAGGCTCAAACAATCCTCCCATCTCACCCTCCGGAGTAGCTGGTGCACACACACACACACACACACACACTCTCTCTCTCTCTGTCATCAAATTTTTAAAGACATTTGGTAATACTTATGAAAAGACTTTAAATGTTCATAAGATTTGACTCAGCAGCTGTATGAACACCAAATCCTAAAGAAACCTTCAATAGCATATAGACAAAATACAAAGAACAAGGGCACGCCTCACGAATGGTAACAATATTTGTCTGTAGTGGCATGGAGTGGTTTTTCTTTCTATTTATTCTCAAACTGTGGGGTGGGGGCGGGGCTCATATACTTTGCCACTGCCCTTATAATCAAACACAAAAATAAAAATAAGTTCTGTATGCAGGGTTCTATAAAAACAAAACATCTGCAAGCTACAAACAGGCTCCTCTCTCATGCTGTCAACAAGTTATTCAAAGTGACACATAGTCATATTACTTCAACATACATGCCACCTTCAGGAAATTAAGGAAACATTGCTCTGTAATTTGTCTGAGAAATTCTCAAACCTAAAAAATGCTTGAATGTGTGGTTGACAAATCCTGAATTACCTATCACACACCCAAAACTTTTCCTTTTCCAAAACTTCAGAGTGACCTGGGTCCTAAATGGCTTCCCCTAAGGGCTCAGCCATTTGACAGATGCTTCCTAGCACTGATGTCTACAAACCAGGTAGAGAATGCTTAGGACAGGCTGCTTTTGCAAGACCATGCTAAGGCAAAGAAGATTCTTAGGTAATTTGACAGTGATTGCAAGGAGGGGAGGGGAGAGAAGGGAGAGGAACAGAAAGGATGATTTTACAAAACAAGTGGTTTTTTTTTTTTCTTACCTTACTATTTTGTGCCATATTTTTACAACTTATTTGAAGAAAGGGATTCAATGAGTAGAGTGGAACCAAAATCTTGGTTGCAAATGTTCAACCAGGAACCAATCACTAGGGCAATGAATCTTCCAGTTTAAACAAACAGAAATCTTAATGCTTTCATTCACTTTATTTCTAAGTATGTCAATCTATTTTACTCTTGATTACCTAAAAGTTTCGCCTGCAATGAACAGTATTTACTTTAGAGATGCCTGCACTTGTGCAATTGCAGCTGGAAGAAAAAAAATGTTCACAGGGTACACTTGTTAAAAGCAAAACAGAAACACTAAGGCAACACTCTGGAGTTAGGGGACATCAACACATTATTAAAAAGCATTGAAACAAATGGGCTACATACAACATATACTATTTGTTCAAAGTTCAAGGGGAAAGGAACCTAAAATCACACTGCAGAGATAAATATTTGACAGAACTAATTTGTAAAAGACCAGAGAATGATAAACACAAAATCCACAGGGCTAACATGTTGACCTCAGTAAGAAATAATAAAGTGGGATAAGCCAGGAAAAGAAAACAAGCAAGTCTGGGCAAAGTTCTAGTTCTTTTTTGGTAAATGTCATGCATTTTTATATTTTATCTTCATATACTATACAGTGTTATATGTATGCTTGTGCTATTAAACATTACTTGGCTAAAAAAATACCTTTGGGATAAAACTTACTTAAACGGGCTAGATTTAAATGTAAAATGCTTTTTTTCCCCCTCCCTGTAGCCCCAGTTGGCCTGGAACTCGCTATGTAGACCAGGCTGGCCTTGAACTCAAAAGAGATCTGCCTACCTCTGCCTCCCAAGTGCTGGGTTAGCGAGCACCACCATACCCCGCTTAAAATGTAAGTTTTAACGTTTATCAACCCAGGAAAAAAATGGCTGCAATCAAAACAAAACATCAATTTTCCTACCTGTGCCTCTTATCTCAGTTAAATATATTTTTAAATGTACAAGAAAATTAAAACAACCTGTTTTGTGAATTTTAATGTACGTTTCAGAAAATATTTTCCCCGAAGGCCCGGGGACTACTTAGAAACCAGCAAGTGCCATAAAATCGGTGACAAAATTACTATATAATTCATCTCAAAAGCTTAAGGCACTTTACATTACGGTAAAAAAAAAAAAAAAAAATCAAATCTCGAATCTGGTCTGAAAGCGGGTTTTAATCCTGTTTTCCGGGTGTTGTCGACTGAGCTGCTTCTACGCACGGCCCCGAGGTGACCCAGACCCCACGGAGACAACACGGGGTGGTGACGCGCAATCACAGCGCTTCGGTGAAGTTAAAGTGACTTCCAACGTGATAATCGCCGGCGCTTGTTTACACAGCAGAGAAACTTTGAAAGCGCCCTGTGAGGAGGCTAACCCCCAACAACCCCACTAACAAGGGGACGTCGGGACCCACGGCCAGGCGAAGGGCCACCTGAGGACGCCCAGCGCGCGGTGGCGGCGGCTCGGAACCCTGTCCTCCGCGCGGCCACCCCAGTCAGCGAGCTCGGCGCGCGCCCGAGGAGCCCAGGCCCGCGCCCTCCACTCGCCCCCGCGCGGCCACCTGCTGCG